TGGCCTCTGGGTCGCCAAGGTTTGGAATAGGGGTGGGGAAAGAGTAGGCTGATTCCCCACTCAAACTGGAATCCCCAACAGGGGGGCTTCTAAGGAAGAGCACTGGCTGCTGCTCCATCTGCTCCTGTCAGGGAAGAGGCCTGTGGGCCTGGGGGTCGGGAGGGGCTCCAGCCTGTGACCACACTTCCAGTCTCTTGGCTCTGGTTATTCTCTCCAGACAGGTCAACCAGTTTGCCACCAGCACCATAAGATCAGCATCTAAGTCCTTTCCCAGGCAGGCATGACTGTCAGAGCTCACCCAGCCACTTAGGAGCCAGGGCCTGAAATGTCGGTGTGTCTGACCCCAACCCACTTCCATCACCTCTTTCCAGGTGTAGGGCCCTGATTTCCAGTTTGCTCTCCTAACCATCCCCCTTCCTGACAGCCTGGGAGTCATGAGCCTGGGGGGATTTCAGGAGCCCCTAGACAGACTGGCCGGCCCAGCGTATAGCCAGATGCCTCCCAGGGCCCTCACCCAGGATCCAGGTAGCCCACCCCGCTGTTGGCATAGCCTTTGATCCTTGCCATTGTCCTGCCACCCTCCTACCCCTGAGGTTGGGTCCTGAGCAAGCAGTGCCTGCTTTCCTGATTGCCGCACCCCAGGTTGGCCCCTGGGGGGCACTCTGGGCCCCTGTGCAGATAGCTTGAGTGGTGGCCAGGAACAAGTCCTCCTGCAGGGGCCTAGGCCTAAGGTTCTGGGCTGGGGGAACAGGGACAGACAGGGACAATGGAGGGTCCAATCTTAAATCCTTGGCAGTGGGGTACAGGAGGAGTGGAGGGGTCCATCCTTGCTTTGACGCTCTCATTGGGTTCACACTGTAGTGTGCTCATGGTCCCCAGGGCTTTTCTGCCTGTCTGTCTCCCTTCTGGTTGTCTGTCTCACTTGCTCTTCTCTGTCCCATGGAACCAAGGGTACTGGCCTGAGCTGAGCCCTAGCAGGGTGTGGATGGACTCTGGGCAGAAGAGCTAACTTTAGCCTCTGCTCTTGGGTGGGGCAAGACCCTCTGAGTCCATGCAGCAGGTTGGCTACTGAACCTGGGGTCTGCCAGGGTGAGCAGAGCGCCCAAGAGGGATCGGGGAAGAAGAAGGGGCACCAGGCCTTTAACAAACACATGGCCAAGGACAGGGATGGGAATCCCTCTTGGTCTCTTGCGGGCCTTACTGCTCCTTCCACCACCCTAAGCCTTTGGCCTCCTAGACCCAACCTCCACTGTGCTGGGGCTGGCAAGGAGAGGGTGGCAGGCTCCTCTGACAACACTGAGACTGTCTGAAACTCAAAGTCTCCTCACTCCTGTTCTCCTCTGCCCCCACCCTCACAACCTCCTGACCATGTCTTAGAGTGAAGGGGTGACCCACTTGTCACCAAGAACGGTGTGGCGAAGACTACCGGCTGAAGAGTCGGGAGACCTGGGTTTTGGCCCTGGCTCTGCCACCAGCTGTTATATGGCCTTTGCTGTCCCTTTGCCTTTCTGGGCCTATCTCTTGGGCAGTCTAGTGGGGAATCAGGTGACCTCAGCAGGCTTGCATCTCCTGGGGCCCTTGTTCTCTTTCTGGGCCGCCCAGGACTTTTGGGGGCGGTGGAGGGCAGAGTTGCCCTGGTCAAGGGCCAGGCTGAACCCTAGACCTGAGATGAGGCTGACTTCCTCCTTGGAGGTGGGTGTTTTGGGGCTGGTTCCAGGGAACCTGGGACTCTGAGGGACCGTGGGTAGGAAAGGGGCTAACGTTTCCTCCTGGCCAGGACTCTCAGCTCCAGAGCTGGAGGGGTAGGAGGTTACTCAATGCTGGGTGGGGCCCTGGAAAGGAAGATGGCGCCCTGACTGGGAGAGGGAGGAAGGGAGGGGAAGGGACCAGCCTGGCAGCTCAGGGACCCGGTGGGAGGGGGAGACTTCTTTCTATGTGTTCTCTTCTCTGGAGGATGAAGAACCTCTGGGCCTGAAGGAGCGGCGGCCAGAAAGGCATGGTGAAGGCAGCTGGGATAGGGCAGTGGCTGATCTGCCCTCCGCAGTTCTCCGTCCCTCAGTTTCAAAGACGCGGGTCTGAATTTCTTGTTTGCCGCGTACGCCTACCCCCACCAGTTCTCCACCTGGCTGCCTCACTTTCCCTGTCTCTCCAGCCAGGCCCTCAGTTCTTTCCCAAACGTTACCCACCCACCCACCCCACTCATCTCGCATCCCGCTGACAGCTGAAACCGGTGGCAATGGCACCCTTGAGTGGCGTGCCTGTAGGAAGGGGGTTAATGACGGCCTGGGGTGTGGAGCCCTCCACCAGCCTTCCCTCCCTCCAGCCTTCACTGTCTCCCAAGAAGCCCAGGCCCGAGTGCCTGCCACGGACAGAATTCCAACCGCGAGGGGGCGCCTCCCAGCCCGCTGCCCCGGCAGGGGAGCCGGGCCTAGGCCGCTAGAGTTGGAAGCGAGCGCAACCCCAAGGGGGTACTTTGGGGGAAGGGCAGGCCCGATGTCCGCAGCTGGTCTTCCAGTCCCATCGGGGAGGTGGCTGCCCCAGGAGAAGAGCCCAGGCGGTGCCCGTCTAGCCCGAATCCGCCCGCAGCTAGAGGGCCCGCAGGAGCTCCCCGGAGGCGGGTCGGGGCGCTCACCTCCAGAGCTTGCCCAGCGTCTTGCTGAGCTCCGCGTTGTGCAGGTGGGGG